ATGTGGGAAGACTTGCATAACGCCGCCCAAATGTTCACACAAAGAAAGAAGGCGTAATTTTTATTCTCGCTTTAGTATTGTTGTTGTCGCTGCCATGTCGTGGAGACGCTGTGTGTTTTGTTGTGAAAGCGAAACTACTTTGTTGTGCAGTAGATCTTGGAAAATGCTAACTTTAGCCTGATAGCACTGTAAGCGAACGTCCCACCCTCCCTGCAATCGCCGTCCAAAGCCACACCCCCTTAACGCATTTACACTCACAGACCAGAATACCAGAGACAACATTACTACAATAGGCTACAACAGCGGTTCCCAATTCCAGCCCATGTTCCGAAGTGAAGTAACCTTCAACGGATTTCCCCCGCTCAGGGACGAGGGAGCAATGAACACTGTGTAGGGATCATATGGATCGGAACACAGTTCATGCACGTAGCTCACTTCTAACGAGCTGGTTATCTGAATCGCGAGGACTGGAATTGGGAACTGCTGGGCTACATCATGTGTCATTCACCAGGGAGAAAACTTTAATAGTACTACAATACCAGGAAGGCAGAACGGGTTGTTGATGTTTGTCTGCCATTCTCGCTCTGTCTGCACAGCGTGGGTGAACGTGCTGATCGCAGCGCATTTTATGAAGGACAAGGACTGTTTACTGAGAGAGTAGCCTACAATGCCGGTGTCTGTTTCTATAAAGTGGGGCAATTCCAACTTTGCAAGGACAGTCTGGCGCTTCTGACTCACAGCCTGTAAGTACGTTTTCATATTTAAAGGATTTGCCACTGACGAGTCAAACGTTGAGTTTTGAGCAGTGTAGAGTAGCGCTTGTTGTTTGCTGTTTCTCCGATCACAAATGCAGACATGGTTTTATGTTTACGCAGCGCGATACGCAACGCGTAAAAAGACAGTATAAGTCATAATCAGTAATTATGTCCCCACTGGATGCAACAAATGCCTCGTTTATAATGGGTTTTACTGGATTTGTCTAGTCATGCCGGGAGACGGCATCACAGTATGGTAAGGGGCGTAACATTTCCGTCACACGCTTGAGGTATTCGGCTAATCACAACGCACTGGATAGCTGGCCAATCAGAGCACACCTCGCTTTTCAGCCCGATGAGCTTTGTAAAAATCGATGCGTTTCAGAAAGGCGGGGCATAGAGGAGAAACAATAATGTACATTATGTGGAAAATAATGTTTTTTTAACCTTAAACCGCATAAACACATTGCATTACACCAAATACACCAAATAATGTTCTTTTTAGCAACGTTTAGCAATGACCCCTTTAAAAGTGAAAAAATACTTCTCTAATGAATAAAATGTTTTTACAAGCTCTGTAGCTCACCCTACACCTACATGTCAAACAGTTCCTGAACGCTCTGTCCCAACTCTTCAGGTGCTTACCGATTGGCTCCTCGGGACAGAGCCACCAGAGGCAGAGGGATGGGCCTGTCCTGGCTGAGTGGTGGTGTTAGTGTAGGAGGAGGTGGAGTAAGTGGCGGTGGTCGTGGTCAAGGGAAGTTCAACAGCGGCGGAGGCGGACGGGGCAGACACGTCCGCTCATTCACTCGCTAAACGCTGCCTTGAGCAAAGCAGACTCAGCCGTCAGGCTCTAAAGGACCAATCAGGATGTGGATCTGCTGTATCTGTTGCAACCATTGGCTGATATTATGTATATCATTGTCATGTTTTGTGTTTCTCTCCTTTTTAAAACCATTAAATATGATTAAATTCTTGTATGTTTTTGAGTGTATTTTTATATAGAAATCCACAGTCTACCTCGTCAAAACTGTTTTAATATCAACGATTTAACAGAATGCATCTCTTGTACTTTTAAATAGGAAAACAAGCCTCTAAAAGTCTAGAAACATACAAAATTGGTCAAAAAAAGTATTTTTACTACACAATTTGGATAAATCATCGAACATAGCCAATCTCATATCAATCATTCGGTTCACCCCGAGGAACTGCAATAATGGGGCTTCATTCAGATGATGAGTTCCAGTCAGTGGTTTTCTATTAGCATCATATGATGTGACATTCCGTCTTCCTTACTGTTCTGCCGTGAAAAGCAGTGTCCTCGGATGACTGTCACCTCTCTATTCTTTCTTTTGATGCAGTCCAAAGCTAGGCTTCTTGGGCTCAGCTTTCTCTGCACCTCAGCAGGGGGCGGTGCTGCTCCAGAGGGCGTGGCCGGTCTGAGCCCCTCCTTTTTTAAAAGTTCAAGAAGCTCTGCCTTCTCCAGCTCCGTCCTCTCCAGCTCTTGTCTGCGCGCTCTCTCTGCAGCCAGCAGAACGCGGACATCTGACATGACTCTGGACAGCTGGCTCTTTGCACAAATACACACACACACACACGTCAGTAACTCGCTACACACACACAAGCCTGCTGATGTAATAAGTATGGTACCTTCAGTTCGTCCACTTCACACCTCAGCAGACTCTCCTTCTGCACCATGTGTCTTCTTTGGGAATCCAAGCGAGATTCCATTTCACGTCGCACCTCTTCGACTTTGCAGTCTAATTCTGCCCTGTAACAAACACGCCCAGACATTTTTCAAGCTTAAAAACATTTACATGGTGACAGTCAGTACTTGAGCTGATGTTTTTACCTGAGCATGTCCAGCTCGGCTCGTAGATCCGATACACAGTTGTGTTGGGCCTCCTCTGTGTTTAGGATTGTGTATCCACAGCCGCTTGCACAGACTCTACTGCTGTATTCACACACACACAGATGAGCTTCCAGAGAGCGCCGCGACACCTGAACCGGGCAGCCTGAATGCCACCGCAAAAGAAAATTTTACATTAAACATCAAAAATAGAGGAAACCCTGGCACATAACAAATGTTCATGCACAAAGAACAGAGAAAAATTATTGAAATAGCATCTAACAGGCAGGGCTGAACAATGAGGACAGCCCTAGGTAAAATGATCTAGTTCAGGACAAGGATTTGTTGAAATTGTGAGAATGATATGTGATAGCCTTGCCAGGATCAGTGAGAATGAGTCAAAAATTACAAATCAATCAGTAACACTTTACAGCAAAAGTATTGATGAATTTGTGACTCTGAGTTAATTGTATAACTAATTATATAATGTCCAGCTAGTATTGCCGGTTCTTTTTAGGAAGTAAACTTAACATTTGATAAAAAAAAATGGATATATGTTTTTTAAAAAATATTTTTTTTTTCAAATATTAAATAAATGTGAAAACTATACATTTAAAATGATGAACCTAAGTATTCATCTAAATAAATGATAAAAAAAAGTTTGGGGTCAGATCAGTTAGACTATTTAATAAAAAATACAGTAAATATTGTTAAATTTTATATAACCGTTTTCTATTTTATAACTAATTATAATTACTATAATTTCCAGCTAATAATGCCAATTTTCTTTGTAAAGAAAACTTTAAATTAATAAAAAATGTAATATCTAAAATAATATTTGATTAAATTATTAAATGATTATTAATTATTTTTAAACTACATTCATAAATATAAAATACATGAATAAAAATTATACAATTTAATTACATTTATGAAATTATACAGTTAATTAAATGTATAATCTTTGAGCAGCCAGTGAAAATGTTGGCACAGCAAGCAGAAGGTTTATTGTTGAAGAAAAAGACACAACAGTCACACAGCACATATAAAACACAGTACACCTACCACAACGATAGCACAATACTCATCACCTGCATTTTTATATACATACACACACACACACACACAAACACACAAACAAAGATTTCCAGGATTAGGGAATGTTGCATTAAGCTTACTAAAACTAATGCATATGTATTATGTGCAAGAATCTGCTTAGCTTACTGACGGAACAGCTCAATTGTTTTATCCCTGAGGTAAACGTTTCACCTCATTGGCTGCCTGAGGGGGTCCCTCATTAATAATTAAAAATGTGATCACTCAACTCTAGATGCTTTATCATGCAGCTACAACACTCTTTCATCTGCTGTTACAACAGCGCTTGTATTGTATATGTATGAATGAGACTGTAGCTGCCATGTATAAGCCACCTGTTCCCTGCCAACAAATTGTGGGTACCAAGATATAACTATATATGTACCTGCATTACTGCAGTTCAGCAAAGCGTAATCACACTGTTGCTCATGCCGATGAACAGACTCCAGAGCGCATGTGACCTCACAACCTTGTGGCCGGAACACACACCTCACCTGCAGCCTTGCTAAATCATTTCTCATGTATCTGTAGCACACCATACACACGTATTTATAAGTCAATAAAATGAATGGCATTAACGATCAGGTGATTCTATGCAAGGTATTTAATACATCTGTGTTACCTGAACAGTGGGCGTAGATGTGTGATGTCTAAAGGCAAGCGGTCCTCTGGACAGGTGTTATGGTGGACGAGCCATCCATGAATGCAGGAGCTGCAGAAGGCATGTTCACACAGAGCCTGCAAAGGATCTTCTAACACGTCCCGACACACACAGCACAGCAGACCCTCGTTCACATAGCCTACAAAACGTTCTAGATCGTAGCCCATCCTAGAGTACACACACACAGAAAACAACACTGAACAAACTGATGTAAAGTACCAAAATACATATAATAACTCAAATGTTGTCTTATGGTTATAACATGTTACTTTACTATAATAGGAAAAATTTAACATTTAATTAAATTTAATTTTGAAATTCAACAATACACCTATCCTGCAGAGGATAAGCTGTCTGGATAATGGATGGATGGATCCAAAAATACAATAACATAATTTGCACATTAATACTTTTATCTATTAAACATTTTAAACCAGACATTTAGCCAAAAACAACAACAACAACAACTTTACTTTATAGCAAAATAAATTGAATAGATTGTTTTAGATAAAATTTAAAATTTAACAATAATATTTATTTTACTAAATTATGTCTTTAAGTCCACTGTATGTGCACACTAAAACCTACAGGCTATCGATAAGAATAACTTGTATTAAAAATACATGGAAAATTTCCTAAAATATAATTTGAAAAATATATATTCAAAAAATATATTACTTAACTTAAAGTTGTATCAAAGTCATAACAAGTTACATTAATATAAACCATACTTAATTTATTTTAAATTAATTTTAAAATCAAAACTATACAAACAACAATGTTTAAATGTTTGAATATCTTAAGCTTTTAAAAAGAAAAATGTAGTAAAAAATATTTTGAAGCTAAATATTTTTTTTGTTAAACGTCCTAAACGTTTGGTACAGAAATGTAATCTTTTTTTTTTTATTTTACATTAAAATAAATAATGGATTTTTCCAAATGTTAAACCGTTGAAAAAAATGAAAAATAATCATAATAGTTATTAATATTTATTTTATATTAAAAAATTATTTAAATGAGGTTTAAAATATTGAAGGCCACTGCATGCGTACACTAAATCATACAGGCTATTCATGTAAACATAACAGCATAATGTATATTAAAAATATATCCAGAAAATGTATTTAAAATATATATATATAAAGTTAAATTACCTAACAGAGTCTGTGGTATCTTGTCTTCCCCTCTCTCCCTCCTTCTCTCAGGTGTGCTTGCTGAAGGTGGTCTGGTCAGTTGCCGTAGAAACAGCCAGGTGGCAGCTGTTGGACTGAAACATGAGTGGGTGGGGTTACAACTGTAGACATTCACTGGGGATCTGGGGTCAGTTTGCCATCTTCATTTAGGCCCTGTCCACACGCGGTTATTTTTTAAACCGCAGCTTTTTCTACACGGTTTGGCCGTTCGTCCTCATGCAAGCGCAGCACCAGGTCACTGAAACCGAACATTTTTGAAAACGCCTGCCAGGGTGAAAATTTTCAAAAACTCTTAGGAAACAGACTCTTTAAGGAGCATGAACTGTATGGCAAGCAGTTTATGAGGCACCTTTTCAAAGCAACTCTCACCTGTACCACAGACCATCTAATGTATAACAAATTTGCAAAAACACAACACACACTTGCCTAAATCTCTTAGGGGAACCCTTTGGGAATCTCTTCCTCATGCTGTGATCACATGATGAGACTGAAGCACCTGGCAACCCCACACACCATCTATCAACTACACAAATATCCTACACATAAATTCTACATCCAAAGGGAAATATTTCTGGTGGTTCTATGGTAAAATTGAACATGGAGAGTTCAGAAATACAAAACTCATATCTAAGATGCATGTTTGAGAATACATTTAGATTTAGATTTTTTTTTATTTTATTTTAGAATTACCCATAAAGATTTTTATAACCAATACCGATTATTTGTTTATGTGTCCTATAACTGATATGCAAAATTGATATTTATTTAATGTTTTACTTCTGATTTTGTTATATTTCATCTTCATTTCACAACAATAAAAACATAGCTTTTTCATTTTTATATCAGCAACGCTAGCAACAATAATATTAAAAATAGGCTAAATAAACTGACAAACGTGTAAACAAATGGAGACTTGTACTTGAACTTTAACGCACTTGCAGAGGTAATAAATAAATTTCCACAAAGCTGTATGTAGATAATGATTAATACTGAAAAAAAAAACATTGGTCAAATCGATAAATGCAAGATCAATGCAAGACATCCTCAAAAACAACCACTTAAAAGTAACAGGTGACCTGTGCACCTGTCTGGACATGTGAGAGTAAAAACAACTGATCTCGTCTACGCTGTCAACGTGTGGCTTGTGCATTTCATTCTGTATTAACACTTTTCTATGCTGTGGCACTCTAGTTAAACCTTTATTGTCATTTGTTGCAGATCCACAGTTGAGGAAATACTGTGTAACTGTGAATGTTTTTTCTGAAGGAGAGGATGTGTTTGTGTGTGCTGGTGTGTCTGTGTCTGGACACTCTCACTGCCTGAATGATCTCTGTTCTTCATGGCTGTGCTGGGATTAGACCGGATTACGCTTTCCCACACTCTGATTGGATTATTTTCCACACAGCAACATTGTAACTTCACTTTCAGACATGCAGCAGTATATAAAACATTGGCACAAACACAACCGGACATGCATCCGTGCACATGCAAGAGATAAAACAGTGACTGAAGTTACATGTGATCATGAAATAAAAATGAAATACCATCACAGTCAAGCACTATATATTACAAATGACTAAAGTCAATGTTCCCACACACTGACCAATGAATTTACAAGACTTTTCTATGATTTCTCGATGACATTTCCGATCATTTATGATTTTAAATGTTTTTAAATATATTTTACAGAAATTATACTTGCAAATTAAATATTCTAGAGCTAAGGATAACGAAAAAAAAATGTGTCTTGTTTATAGAAACATCTATGACTTTATAAGATTTCTTTTATACTGTCTTTTTCAAGACAACAATTTACTGACATATATTTAGGTTTCATTGGCTGTGGGAAACCTGTACAGTACAAATGAAAACAGAAACCATACAGAAATAAAAATGTACTGCTTGTCAATAAAATATGTTAATTAATAACCCATCTCTACAGTTAATATGAATCTGAAGCATGAATGATAGTAATTAATGAAAGACTGTAAGGATCTATGTCTGATTTTATTTTGAAACGAATAAAAGACATACAAATCAATAAATGGTTTGATGTCAAAACTATACTTGTGTACAAAAGCTGTATGGTCATATCTGTTGTATAATGTACATTAATTAAAATAAAACAAGTAAGGGTTAATAATGTGTAAGTTTCACATAGTACTTGCCTGTTTGATAAGTGATGGTTGACAGGGATCAAAATTTTGAGACGTCTCCTGATTTTGCTTCATTTACTTCTGCTGGATTAGATACAATTTTAGCAGTCAACATTTACTGTCAGGTTTCTTTGACACCTCTCTTTACTGTTGATTTTTGCTGCTCATAAGCTCCTGCATTCCACCCCCTTCACGTGACGTCTCGTTTCGACCAATCGCGGTGAAGACACGTCACTTCCGTGGGAGACGCGAGCTTGCGGTGTTTCTTCGAGGGAGTTTTTGAAAATAGGAAAAGTGATTGACTTGACATACGAGGAGAAAACAATAAAAGGTAAGCATTTAACGTACTGTCTGTCTACTTGTAGTATATTAAATTCAAGTACACTTGAAAAGTTATTGGAGAATTAGAGACAGCCAACAAGCTTTAGTTGTTCACCCTGGTTTAGCTCAAAACAGCGACAGATGCTTTTTATATGTCCTTTGCCTAGCTTAGACTAAAGGGATAACGTTAGTTCACCCAAAATGAAATTTATGTCATCCCAAACCCGTTTGAGCAGGCTCTTTTTAATGAATTAAGAATATACAGCCAGTACAATTCCTGACCGAATGACTCCTATAGAGTCGTTTCTTTTCAGTGAACCAATAACACTTAACGTACTACGAGAGCCACCGTTATTTATTTAAGAACCGTTACTGTGTTATGTTATACTCAAGGCTCGTGAGACTTAAATCAGTGTAGTTACTGACTGGTTGTTCATATGACATCAGATAGTAGATATATGAGTTTAGTTGTAATCAGTGGAATTTTATAAAAAGTAAAATAATTAAATGTTAACACCTTTTTGATTTTATTTATATTTAATGTATAATTATGACCAATTGCTTGCATTCATGCCGCCTCTAAAAGTGTGTAAACCTGTTTTTATACAGTCTATGGTGTAAACGCACACAATAAATGAATAACTTAAGTAAAATAATTTCTGGGGTTCTGTCAGTTCTGTTTTAAATCATTGACAACAGACTGCTGGGGCAATAAATACAGTAAGAACTGCATCTCTTTTTTTCCAAATATTTCTTCCTCAAATGTACTAAAAGAATTGTTAATAATTTCTCCTTCAGTTTTTTTTTACAGAAGAATATAAGGTATCCCTTTAATCTTTAATGGTTTTATTACTGTGTGTCTTTATTGACAGAATGCGTAGATCTGGAGCTCCGAGTCAGCTCAGTGGAAATACTGCTAAGAAACCCAGGTTTATGCCACCAGGGCCAGCAAAGAACAATGGGCCACCTTTATCTCATCCCCAACCAGAACCATCAGCACCACCCACACCTGCTTTGGGAAATGTGCTGCTCAATAAGGTCACAAACAAGAGAATATTGAAAAAGTGGTCATGATGACAAATTTTATGCAGTGTTTGTGATTATGTACATAATTTATATGTGATTGATAACATCTTAATGTTCACATTGCCTACTCAGGTTGTTTGTATGTGTTATTACTAGTGTTTTCATCTGTATCATGATAATAGTGCAGTGTAACAATGTGATTGACGAGGTGCATGCATTAGGGTCTGTTTTTCCTTCGGATGTTGTTTCAAAAGTTAATTCTCCATGCAGGTCCAGAGGTGTTTGAGTAGTGGAGATACTCCAGCTGTGACTAATGCTCCAGTGGCCAGTAAGGCTTTAGCCAGGGTGCTGGGTGCAGTTCCTCACGGTGAATGTAAGGAAAACAGCTTCAGTTCTTCACCTGACTTTTCTGAACCTGAACAACCAGCAGATAAAGACAGCTGCTCAACACAGCCAAACACGCTCGCCAGCTGCACAGCTACCGGTAAGATACAGTACTGTCGTATTTTGGGTGTGTGTTATGATTGAAAGGTGATTGAAATATCACTTGTTTTATTTTTTGTTCAGTAAATGCTAAACAGATTTTTCAGTCTGGTTAGTGTATATTAGTATAAATAAAAGGATTTTCCTTTGGTAATATCTGTGTAATGCATTATTTGTAACCACATTTTAAACTAAGACTCAAAGGAGGACCTCTTTACTAGATTTTTATATGTAGATTTTTATTTTTGATAATCCTGTGCCACTCAACAATGTAAACACATTGCTGAAAAAGTGTTCTGTAGTTACAACTCATCTTAAATGGTGTTTTTATGTTTTCAATTTATTATCTTCTTGTAACAATTGGTTTTAGAAACTAGTAGGTTTTAAAATCTCCTGTAATTTACCCATAATCCAAAAATCTGAGAACTTAATTGAGCTGACGGTCATTATCGCAAAACAAACCCCAGACTTGGATTACTCTAATGGCTGTTATTTTGCAATAATGACTGTATTATTCCCTTTATTACACTGCTATTCCCCAAATAAATAAATACATGGTAATGAAATGTTGATATATGTTTTAATTACGTTACTATTTACCGGCGTTTTTGTAGAGACACAAAGAGAGAGCAAAAGCACAGCTATGTAAAAAAAATTATATTTTGATTAGCACTGATATAATGTTACAGCATTGCCATGGGCGACTTGACTAATTTTTTGTTTTGCTTTGTTTGTTTTTTGAGTTAAATCTAAAGAGAAATGTTCGTTTTTTGTTTTGTCTTGTTTGCTTTTGAGTGATGCGTCTGTTTTGCATGGTCTTGTGAACCTCATCACGTTGATATTTTATAATGTCGCACAGGTTGCTAGGATGTAGTGTACACTTAAACACTAAGAAAGAGATTAAGATAAAGATTAATAAAGAGGAAATGCACTTTGTTTTAATTCTTTGAGGAAATCTAGTAGAGAAAAACAACAAAGGCTCGGCGAGCGGTCAGGTTGAACAAACGGCATCTCTATTCCCCGCCTTTAACTTCGGCTTTGAGTGAAACTAACCAATCCGTGCGCACTGACTGCTTGATTGACAGGCGCGATGTGCTTATTGGATCGTATTCGTGCCGCGCACGGATTTGCCCAGATTCAAGGCAGAGATGTCCTGTTTACTATGAGTGTGAGCAGTGGTGCATTTGTCAGTCAGCCTGGGAAATAAATAGCAACTGGTGTCCGAAAAGCAGTTCTCTCTCACACAAAACACTGTCTGTACGCACGCACATAACGCTGCTCGAGTTGTTCTGGCGCGAACGCGTCAGTTTAATGTTTCCTCTGGCGTTTAAGCAGTCGCGCGGACCCTATCTCCTGTCAAAACACGGACCTGACGCGCTTCAAATATTACAACACGTTCAAAAACACGCATTGAGTCGTTTCCCGCTAAAACGCAATACGTGTCGCTGTTTGCAGCGGAATAAAAGAGCTCCCCTGTGTTTCTAGTCTAATGTAGTCGGGTTTGTTATGTAGGTCAGGCCAGGCTTAAGCAGCTTTACTGAACCTGCGTCAGCTTAAGCTAAAAGGAATTCCAACAAAGCCCTCCCCGGGTAGGCGTGGGCCTATTCGAGGCTGGCCTAGTTAAGCCTGATTCTTTTTCTTATGTCTGTGTGCTTGAGAGCCAGTTTGTGCATGTGTGTTGTTTAACTGAGACAAGCAGTGCAGCAACCTGCTCACACAAGTGAGTAGAGAAAGACAGACACACAGCACAGGGAAAAGAAGAGAAGGAGATCAAACCTAGAGCACTGAGACCAGCCTAAAGCAGGATGTCTACCATATTCATGTCAAACAGCATGGTCGGCAAGGCCCGCTCCTCCAACTTCACCCTATCTGAGAAACTGGATCTTCTGCGGCTGGTCCAGCCTCACATACGCATTCTGGAGGAGCACACCAACAAGCACGCCGTGATCGTGGATAAGAACCGGTGCTGGGACAGCATAGCAGAGCGCTATAATAATTTCGGAGGCGAGAGGCCCCCCAGAACGGCTCAGGGCCTTCGGACCCTCTATAAGCGACTTAAAGAAAGTGCCAAGCAGGAAGTTCTTCAGCGAAGCCATGCCCAACCCGAGTACCGGGGCAGCATCTCGGAGCCAACCAAGCGCATCATGGAAATGATACCTCAACTGTTTCACGTGGGGGACAAAGAGCCGAATGCGCTCCACAGGTGAGATTGAGCGTACAGATACTTACATGACAAAACTGCCACATTATTAGGTGCATCCATAATTAAAAACATATCTATCACCCTATGGAAAAATTAAATCAATAACAAGTAAATACATAAACACATACTCTCAGGAGGCCTAATTGTCTACTCTGAGAAGATGGATCTGATTCCACTAGCGAATTTAAATGAATCAGATCCTGTGCATCCACAGGACTTTAAAATATTGATTCAGCTTCTGTTAATATCTTCACATACATTTTTCCCAGATTTTTCCTTCTGCTGCTGTGTTAATTGTCACACTCAGCCAATTAGACTTGAGCAGTTTTGATATGTGAACATCTCCTTTGCTAGTTTTAATATGTCATATGCGGTCAAAGCAAACGTTGTAGTCACACGCTCGCTGTCCTTCCACTCTGTCTTGTGCCAGAGGTAAGCTGCAGCACTGAGGGGATTTGGATGTCATTAACCGTATTTCCGATGCTGCGTTAATGCCAGGTTTGCCACCATGTGCCAGAGGAGTTACTTTCCACTAGCATCTCCATGTCTTTCGTTTGTGTTGACAAAATAACAGGTCTTTCTTTTTGTCTGTTATCACCACAAATCCAGCCAAGAGCTGGGGATGCACATGATCTGATTCATTTGAATTCACTAGTGGAATCAGATTCAGCATTTTTATTAGTTAAAAATTCAATGTTATAATTTTTTTATGTGTCTGTGCTAGGTTTCAGTACAAGAGGAATTCTCCAGTAGAGCAGCCAGGCAGCAGTTTGTCGGACTATGCGCCTGTTGCGGCTGTGAGGGTGGAGACTGAGGATGTGAAACCGCCTCCTGATATCCACCTGATCACATCCCACAGTTCACCTGTCACCATCGCCACCCCGAGCAGTCAGGCCCACCACGGACAGAACGAGAGGGACAATGAAGTAGAGGAAGTGGAGGAAGATGAGGAGGAAGAATTAGCCTCCCACGTGTATGCGGCCTCTCTGTCTCCGTGCCCCTCTTCTGCACACCTGCCACCCTCGCCGTCGGCACCCGGCCCCAGGAGGAGCGCGTATCAGAGAGGGAGGGCAATGTTCAAGAATCCAGTTTTGGAGGCAGAAGCTCTGCAGATGATGCGAGAGGAGCATGAGCTGCTTCTGGCCAATCACAGAAAGCTTGGACTGTATCTAGAGGAGAAGAGGGAGGGGCTTAAGAGAAAGCAACAGCTGGAGGAGGAGCTACTCCGGTCAAGGGTCAAAGTGGAGAAATTGAGGGCGGCCAGGCTACGCCAAGGATTGCCGTTGATGTGACACGTATGGTGTCATGTCTGAAAGTCTATCACAAAGGGAACTCTGTAATGTGAAGTTAAAATTAACAGGCTTGTTTATACAGTTTGTACAGTTATTTCTTGTTTTTGTATTCGATCGACATTTGTACAAGGATTGTTCCTGATGTTTGTAGCAGAAATGAATGTTTTTAATGGGTTAATGCCTGGTTAAAGAAGAAAATAAGATTTGATTTTCTATGTATTCACTAATAAATTCATAATTGCTTTAAACTGTTTTGAGCCTGTCCTTTTATTCTTTTTTGTTAGACAGGGAGTGTTACATAGCAACAGCAATAAATGAGAACGTTATCAGTCAAGATGTTTATGTGAACTTCATTTGGGTGATTATTTACAGTATAATTCAGTATAATAAAATCCATCCGTCTGTCTCTCTTATCTGTCTGTCTGTCTGTCTCTATATATCTGTCTATCTCACACATTAGTTTATGTGACAGAACAAAAGCACAAGGCACAAAATGAGCAATTATGCATATGTTTAGTGGCTGTATAAAGGCACATTTCTAATTTGAGACTGTAATCAGTAAAACATTGTCTATGATTAGGCTATTGCTGTTTTGTATATCACTGCTGATCCTTTTTTTGTTTATTTTAAAGCACGCTACTATAGTGTAATGTGGTGCAAGGCGTCATCAAGGAAGCATAAGCGCTGGGAAGGCGACGCTGTGCTTGTTGCCAGGGGGCGGACTGTTGTCCTCAAAGACATGGAGGGGCGGGACATTGGACGAGGTTTGCCTGTCACAGCACATTCTAGCAGTACTTCTGGATTTGTATATAAATGCGTATTTGAAGATAGGGATGTTCAATATATTGTTTATCAGCATATATTAGAGTTTTTTTCTGTTGATATTTTATATTTCTGCAAGCTTTGCTCATTTCCCCAAATTGTCATCTAATTTAGTTTAGACTGGTTTAGACTGGAGTTCATTTTTAAAAACACTAATTTAAGCTAACACCGTTAAATGTAATTGTTAGTAAATCTCTGAATACCAATTTTTCTCACTGTACATTATAATTTTCTGTTACTTAAATTCACTTTTTAAACATTAAAATGATTGATTTTAGTTTTTTACTTTTAATTTTATATCAAAATATATTAAATTTTTTAATATTGGACATGATATCAGCCATATCATATAAATAATTAAATATCAAGAATTTTATTATTGGTGCATCCCTATTTGAAATGCACAATTCTCCCTTTACTTCACTTTTGAGGTAATATGCTTGAATCTGTGTAGATGTGTGTTTTAAATCAGTGTTTTTCTGTCAGGTGCAGGCTATAAGGCATCAGAGCTGGAGAGCTTGTGTGAGGGTCAGACTCTTACGGTAGGAGGGAAGCAAATCGAAGTCATGGGGGTCATATCCGATGAGGACTACGCCAAAGGCCGTTGTTTTCAAAATGCTGCTGTTGAGACTCCTGCAGAAAGGCTCTTGAAGGCTCCTGTATATCGACCAGTGTCCAAATCCTTTACCAAACCAGCGCTCAAGGGAGGTGCACTTACAGATTCTGAACCTGAAAAAGCCATCTGTAAACCCAAACATGACCCGAACGCACCAGGTATAGCACATGCTCAACTTAATGATTTAATCGATGCATGTAATAGTTATACTTCTAAAAATGTACACTGCAAGTCCATTTAAGAAAATAATGAAGACAAAAAGGTGATTAAAATGGTTAAAATTTCAAAGAAATGGTTGCATTACAGGATTAACACTTTCCCTGAAACGTTCATATACATTATAATTATTACATTTTATTCCAAGCTATCCATATCCATACTGCTTACTTTCTATTGGTCCCAAGGTGCCCTTGTGATGCCGCGACCAACAACTGATCACCAGTGGCTGTATAATAAATCTGGTTCTCCTCTGGTGGATGTGGTCATCGACCCCCATTTGACCAATCATCTTCGGCCACATCAAAGAGAGGGTGTGGTCTTCCTTTATGAGTGTTTAATGGGAATTAGGTAAATAAGAGTTCATCTGTTATTGTAATGTTCTTACATATGCACTTCTGCATGTTTTTGCACATGTATGTTTGTGTGCTGCAGACTGCCTGGCCGCTGCGGGGCTATTCTGGCTGATGAGATGGGACTGGGGAAAACGCTGCAGTGTGTTTGTGTTCTGTGGACGCTACTGAGACAGGGCCCCTACGGTGGATGTCCCGTACTGAAGAGGGCACTTGTGGTTTGTCCAGGAAGTTTGGTCAAGAACTGGGCTGCTGAGTTCAACAAGTGGCTGGGCAGGGAGAGGATCAGTGTTTACACTGTGGACCAGGTGTGTATGTGTGGCCGTTTGTGTCAGATAATAGATAGAGTGATGAAAGTTAAAAGAATATGTTGTCTCTGTAGGATCACCGTGTGGAGGACTTTGTGTCTTCTCCTCTTTGCTCCGTCATGGTGATCAGTTACGAGATGCTTTTGCGCTCTGTGGACCAGCTGAAAGAGCTGGATTTTGGAGTGCTCATCTGTGACGAGGGTCATCGCCTTAAAAACAGCAACATCAAAACGGCCGGCGCACTCACAGCCCTCTCATGTGAACGCCGTCTTATATTAACAGGTTTCCTATTTCAAACAAACACACACACTTTTGTAAACAAGTGTAGTAGTAAAACATTATGTAATTGTTAAAAAAATGTGTAATTATTAATTTAACAGGTACTCCAGTGCAGAATGACCTGCAGGAATTTTATTCCATCATTGAGTTTGTAAATCCAGGAATTCTGGGAACATCTGCAGCCTACAGGAAGATTTATGAAGAACCCATTCTCAGATCTCGCCAGCCCACCTGCACTGAGGTAAACTTCTACATTTTCAGAGTAATAAAATATTTATAATATTTATTTAAAATATTTTTTTATATATACATTTTATTTTAAATGATTATTATATTACTTAAAATATATTTATATGCACACACACACATGTATATTCATTTTAAATATTTAAGTGCAAAGGTAATGCAAATGTAAAACTACATATTACATATCCAATAATGATCATCATCCGATATTAATAGATTTTTTTTTAAAAATCTCTTCAGAAAATTTCCCCGACTGTGAGTCAGTATCCTTTAGCTGTAGTGGCATTGATCACAACTGTGTTTCAGGAAGAGTGGTGCATTGGAGAGGAGCGTGCCTCTGAGCTCTTTCGTCTAGCAGGTGTGTTTACGTTACGGCGCACTCAGGAGATCATTAATCAGTATTTATCCGAGCGGATAGAGTGGACCGTATTCTGCAAACCCACTGAACTGCAGCTGCGTTTGTATGGAGTCCTGCTGGCCACACGGCCCATCAGAGCCTGCCTCTCTGGTGCCAGCACACACACTTATACACACAGCCCACACCTCGCATGCATCAACGCCCTCAAGAAACTCTGCAACCACCCCGGGCTGCTCTATAACACTTTACAGGTACAATAGGTGCTGGTATTTTGCCATGCCTTGTTTTTTGTCTTATTATTGCTGCTTTTTAATTATTCTTTGTGGTATTTGCTTCAGGAAAAGTCGGATGAGATGTATGAGGATGGAATGATGGAACTCTTTCCTGAGGGATACTCAACAGGTGCCTTCAGCACTGCAGACTCTGGGAAACTTCTAGTGCTAACAGACCTGCTGTCAGCAATACAGCACGTCAATCGCACAGACAGGTACCACATATACAACTGCTGTCCGACTTCATTACAAATGTCATCTCATTTGAAAGGTTTTCACATCAAGAAATGATTAGTGACTAATCTGATAAATAAATGTTGTAAATGATGTACACTCAACATAAACACTGAGGTCATATCAGTGTCCTTGTGAAAGTTATATTTAACATGGTGTCACCAAGTTGAGGTCACATTACAAACAGTGTCTTGCCATTAAAATGGGCTATTACTGCTGCTACTAAGTTTATTTTCAGTATTGAAGATGAGAAAAATACTTTATTAATCTCCACAAGAAAATGTATTTGTTAGAGTAGCAATTTATGCTGAAGAGCTTACAACACAGTCAGGAAAAAACATGGAACAGATGAATAAAGTAATATATTTAAAAGTGACATATTATGCCCCTTTTTACAATATGTAATATAAGTCTCTGGTGTCCCCAGAATGTGTCTGTGAAGTTTCAGCTCAAAATACTCCACAGATAATTTATTATATAATTTTGAAAATGCCTATATTGAGTGGAAGCAGATCAGACGCTTGCAGAAAAAGGCTTACCTAAACAAACTGGTTGGGTTAATCTTTTTCACGTTTCTTTGGTTGGTAGATGCACCAGGGACCTGATTATAGCACTTAAAACCTGGAAAAGTCAGATTTTCATGATATGTCACCTTTAATATTTTTGCTATTCACTATAATGCATTTTGAGTGCTAAAGCACATAAAAAAACAAAAGTACATCAAACAAATTATATAAATTTATATCATATTATATTCTAATTTTGAGTGCTCAAAACTGCTAAAGTGCTAAACTATTACATTATATTATGTGGTATTATATTATAATTTATCCTAAAATGTAAAAAAAATATAGTATATTACATTTAGTGCTGTCAAATGATTAATCGCGATTAATTAATCGCATCCAAAATATAAGTTTGTGTTTACAAAATATATGTGTGTACTGTGTGTATTTATGTATATATAAATGAACACATGCATGTATATTTTTAAGGAATATATGTTATATTTATATATAAAATATTTATGCCTAATAAAAATCATATATAAATATATATATATATATATATATTGCACACCTGAGGTGTAACGGCCACTCCGCGAATTTTTCTAATAATTCAACGACTCGTCGTCAATTATTCCTTACATAATAAATATACACAGTACACACACATACAGTGGGTACGGAAAGTATTCAGACCCCCTTAAATTTTTCACTCTTTGTTATATTGCA